TGCTAGTATTATTAGTATTAGTATTAATCGTAAAGATTTATAACAGATATATATATTTCATATATGATAGTCGACGTAACGCTAGGAATTTGGAAAATTCAAGGCAATTTGAAATGGTAATTTCACATGTGGAATTTGACACAACTCGTAACCATATAGAGAATAAAAATTTAATAGGAAGTCAAATAATTAAAGAATTGATCGAGAGATTGAAAAATAAACAAATAGTTTAAACTAATTACAACATGTAAACTCGATAAAAGTCGGTCATTTATTAACAAAAGAATACATACAACCCAACTAAATCAATGTAACAATTTAGAAGGGATTGGAAATATTTTGACAATATTTAGAAAGAATTGGCAACGATACTGTCTCTTTTTGGAAATTTTCGTGATTGCATTGTATAAACCTTTGATCATTGATTGATTATTGACCATGATAATGGTCACATCACTCTCCCAAAACATTCAAAGGTTGTATTTATAAGTAAAAAAAAAAAAATGAAAAAAAAATCATTTGATCAAAATCAAGTCTTTTCCTGCCATTAAAAATTTAGAATTAATCCATTATTGTTAAAGAAGAATCAATTAAACTTTTTTTGAAAAAGATTCTTTCCTGCTACTAAAAATACCAGCAAGAAATTAATCCATTATGTCATTATCAACTCCACTCGCTCATTCACTGCGACGTTTAACTTAAAATCTTGTTTAAATAATAAATGAATTAATTCCAAATTTCTAGTGCGATGCTAATACTAAATCAACAATAATAAAACGCACGAATTTATTAATATTAATATTACTGACTTTTTTAGTCGCAAAAAAATTAGTAAAGTATTAGGAAAGAAGGTTGATTCGTTCCACAACATGAGTAAATTAAATGAATGACTGATAGATCTATTTTTACTATTTATTTTTTTTATCGCTTATCAAATTTTGCAACTCTTCAGCGTTAACCTTTTCCAATCTTTTTATATTCTTTTAACGCTGCTTTTCGAAACCTTTAATTGAGCGTAGTCAAAACCGAGAATATTCAAGTTTTTTAATGAAGGAGCTCGACTCATTGCAACATATACCTGTCCTTCGGCAAATATGTTCTCATCAACATTCAACGTTACATGCGGCTTTCTTTGATTCTCCTTACCATAGATCTCGAAATAACATGTTTCCTTCTGGATGATGATTTAATAATATTTTTTTTTTCAGGTGGCAGGTCACAGTTTTGGTTAGTAGAACATCTGATCAAGAATGGCACGATCATAAAATGTTCACTCGGCGAAAAAAAAATTTCTATATCATCAACAAAAAAATTGGTACAAATAAAAAACAACCGTTTATTTGGTGATTTTGGTGATTTATTTTTTATTTAGGAAAAAAATGGGACATACACCTATGCCTATTACAGCCACAATACACCCTAATTCTTTTTTTCCCATTTCTTCATTATTCAAAAAATATATACATATACAAACACACATACGCATATACGAATATGCAAAAATTAAAACTTACAAAAATTTTAACGTCAATTTTTACTATTATTTTATTATGTTATAGTGTCAAAGCCTTCCGTGTGAGGTTAATGAGTTAGCATCCTGCTCTAACGACGGATTTTAAATCTCGAGGAGGCGGGATGACAGATTTATTAGGGATTTCTGGACTTGTTAATAGCCGTTCTGGTTCTTAAAGTTGTTGTAATTTGCATTAAATGAGAGGGTACGATAGCTGACGGTTCTATTCTTGACATGGTTTGATAATAGATTATATATAAAACTATTAAGCAAATTATTCGTTTAGTTACCTACGCTGTACGACTCTTTCAATGAATATCAACATTTATCGGGGTTCTGGGTCTGATCGTTGGGGATGGGGGATGGGGATAACGATCGAAGGTGCTATCCTTGATGTGGTTTAATAATAATAATATATAAAGATATTAAGTAAATCATTCGTTTAGTACCCGCGTTGTTCTCTGAACTTGGCCTACGGTTAGCATTTGAGGGTCTGGTCGTTGTGATTTGATTGGTTATCTGATTGAAAATCAGCGATTCTATTGGATTTCTGGTTGGCTGATTTCTAGGTTAACGGATTCCTTGATTTTCCTGGATTTCTGGATTTCTGTGTAATAGGGTAATTATTAATTCTATTCTATTCATTCAATTTATTTTGAATATGCGTGTGTGTGTGTTTGAAAAACTTTGGATTTTGATCATAGCTAGCAGAGGAATTAAGACATTACTATTTAAAGACGGAAGGATGCATGGATAAACAAACTGGTTATAATGATATTGGTATAAACATCATTATTATCGAAATTTTTATTTATATTGGTTTTTTTATTTTAGACAAAGCACATGTAACTTGGTTGAAATTATTATAATTTTGTTAATAAAAACAAATTTAGCAGAGAAATCATATATTGATGCGGACATAATTCAATACCAAAAAAAAAGATCTGACAAATGAATATACATGACCTTTGATATTATATATATACAAAAATTTATTAATGTACCAATAAAATTCTTTCTTCTGCATCCCATAAATGGGGGCGCAAATTTTGAAAGAAAATAACTTATTAAATTAAATAATAAAATTCGTTATAAACATTCTTGTTGTGCATATTTACAATAAAACACAATCTTTAAAAGATTGATATAATTGATATATGTATATAAGTGAAATAATATATATTACATTAGTAGAATCTATCATCAAATCCAAATCCACCATCTTGCAAATAACAAATACACCCGCATCCAGTTGGACATTCCGTATTACCATCAAGAAACCATTCATTAAGATGATTTGTATGCCCACCATGTGAACATTTTACACAAAAATTCGATAATCCTAAACAAATAAATAGTATTAATTAAGGAGAATAAAATATTTTTCAGAATACATATAAATACACACATACCTTTAACGACTAGATGACAGATTGAACATCTAATACCAATTACACGACATTTTGTACATTTTGTACCAGATTTTAATTCTGCTTCACACAGATAACAACGCGTAACAATTTCTATAAATTAAATATGATTATGGCGATACGATAGCAAAATAGTTATTTTTTTGTAAATTTGATTTTGTCTGAACAAATATTATATTAACTAAATTAATTAATTAACACTTCTTCCTTCTTACCTAATGGCTCCTCCCTTTCTCCTATTGGACTTCCTACATTCGTTTTTACAAAACTCATAAATTTTAAAAGTTCAGTTCTTTCTTCATAAAGTCCCCAATGATATAAAATTTCTGAATATGCCAAACGATATTGGTCATGTATCTCTTTTGTGTTTCTATCATTATCTAATAATGGTACGAATATTGGTCTAATTATTTAAAAAAATTTTTTTTTTGTTAAATTAAAATGGTTTTTTCTTTGCAGGGATGAAGGAAAAGTTTTTTTAAAAAATAATTTTTTTACCTTCTTTCATCATCAAATTCTTCATAATTCATCATAGTTATATTAATCTCATTTGGTTTACGTTCGTTATCTAAATTCTTTTCGTTGGCGTGATTTACACCACTTCCCATTCCTCCCCATCCAAAATTATCTGCAAATCCTCCCCCACCTCCTATCGCTGGACTATCCTTTTTGGGTGTTCGTGGAGGTGATGATGCTGTAACTGCTCCTAAACTAGAAGAGAAAATATTTCCATCACGGGTTGGACCACCAAAAGTAGATCTTCGGTGATGATTTGGTTTGTGGTTTGGTGTAGGCATTGTAATATATGCACCTGAGCCTTCTGAATGTCCGTATATACCTGTTGTGCTTGAAGTAAGTTGTTTTGGTGAATTTCCTGTTTGTAGACTGCCGTCGATAAAAGTGCCATTATTATTATTATAATTGTTGTTGTTATAATTATATGCTGACACAGTTCCCCAAGATCCTTTATGTGAATTATATGATTCACCGTATATTGATTGATTTCCAGAATAAATGGGGTTTCGATTAGTATAACCTGTCGGAGAACATTTATCTGGATAACGAGTATGATAATTAAAATAATCTGTATTGGTTGATGTTGTTCCATTTGTTGAATTAGGCGAATTCTAAAAAAGATATGTGAACGTGAAAGTGAGGAAACAAGAAAATAAAAAAATTTTTTTTTTGTTATTATAAGAAAATTAATAAAATTTCATCAAATAATAAATAAATACCCAGGATTGAAGTTCAAATGACCAAGAAGATTTAACTTTTGGTGGAAAAGGTTCATCAAATACACAAGACAACATAGCCAATGTTTGAATATCGCCAATTTTTTTAAAATGATCAAACCTATAAAATATATATTTAGAAATTTATATAAATGATATTAACATTATATAATTTTTTATTTAATAATAATATTATTATTACTATATAACTAACAAATGTTTGACAAGTTTATTGCCCAAAGGATGAAATCCCCAATTAACTTTTCTAAATAATCCATCATTCATCATCATCGTTGTTGTCGACTCAAACCCATCACCGCCAATTTCACTTCTTTTACTATTATTATTTGAATATTTATTATAATGGTGATGAATTCCAGTAAACAAGGACATATTATCGTTACTACTAAATGAATTTTTAATAAATTTTGTAGTGGGAATTGCTTGTGTTAGAATTAAAGCAGCAAGCAACCAAACTTGTTCCAAATCAGGTCGATTATTGCATGCTGCAACTTTAGCGTTATGTTTACATATTACCGCAGGATCATTTCCATAAATACTATTTAATAATAAATAAAAAATAATAATAATAAACATTATTATTATTACACAAGATATTAGAGAAAAAAATGGATAGCTGGATAGATTGGATAACTTAAACTTACATGTATTGTTTCGCTAATTTCATATTAACAGGCAAACATTTTGATAAATCATAAATATGTGTAATAGGACCAGACTTATCCAATTTTGTCGATTCAAATAATGTGACATGATCTGTTGAATTTAGAGCATTATGTAATGTATCATTCTTACAAATAATAATAACAATAGTATAAAATATCAAAAATAAGCAAGGTATCATTTTTTTTTTAAAAAAAAAATTAAATTAAATAGAAATAATTTCAAGAAAATAAATACCTTTGATTTAAAATACAATGAATTAATTGGTAATAAATTGTCTTTATTTTCATCGTCTTCATAAGATGCATCATAATTATATTGTCCAAAACTTGTCACCGGACGTGGAAGTTGTGAAATTATTTTATATTGTTCCCATGAATCAAAAGAGCGTGGATGTGTATATGTGTAACGGGAACGCATACTAGAATCTATTTTGTTTCTTGAGGTTATTGATGTAATTTGATTGCTTGCATCAGGTGATCTAAGACTTGAAAAAAAGCAAATAAGTTGACCTAAAATAAAGAGTATTAATATTAATAAATAAACAAACAAATAATAATAATAATAATAATAATAATAATAACAACAATAACAATAACAACTCACCATTCATAGAAAATCGAGCTCCACATAACATTGGAAAAGGAACATTATTGTTGTCATCTTTATCACCTAAAATATAAACTAAATTTTTATCATAAGATCTTCTGGTTGAATTCAATAAATTTTCATCATCTGAATCATCTTTTCCATAACGATCTTGTGCCACTTCCTTGGGTTGCTCACCAAGCAAATAACGTATGCAAGCCTCTAAACATGGTCTTTTTTGAGATACATGGGATAAAGCAATACTATTTAAATTTTGCAACATATGCGTTCTATTCATTATAGATATCATTCCTGTCCTTTGAATATTAAAATTTGGAGGAAATTTATCAGGATATTGAGGGGGAAATGATATATTAATTCTAATGAAAGCTACACCACTGGCAGACCATGGTCCATGCAAACTAATGGTACAACTCCTTCCTTGTGGGTTGAGCTAAATCCGTGAAATTTAATATATAAATACAAATAACATACCACCCAATTATTCTGAAACAAACAACAATTAAGTCTATACATATGAACAGTCATTTACTTACCTTTTCAAATTCAACGTTAAGGAATTTTTTTGAAACCAGTTTGATTTCTTCATGCATATTTGGTGGAGTATCTTCATCTGTCTTACCAACGCCACTACTTGGCTTAACCATCCTTACATTTTGCATCCATAATAAAGGTGATAACGAGCGACGTTCTACACGGCACATACCAGCAGCAGCACCAAGATAGTCTGGTTGAATGTTTCCACCACCAGCAGAAGCACCGGAAGGTCGAAGTGTGTTGTTTGTTGTTGCATTCATACGATTTCCTGGGATGACTCTTAAAGTTGAAATATTAGCAGTTACTGATAAAGTTGGAGATGTTGATTGGCCATTTAGTAATGAAGGTGGATGACGAAATGTGAATGTGGAATGACCAGTTTTTAATAATTTTTCCGATGGAGATTTTAATTTGCCTTTTTCATGGCCGATTAATTTCAAATGTTCATTAGTTATGGGCCATAATCTCAGATGTTTATCCTTTGACCAAGTAATTAATTGAAATTCCCTATCATCTAAATTAAAGTATGGATACAAGATAAATATTCAATGACAAATTAATTGATTAATCGATCAACTAATCAACATATGTATACATGTATATATGAATATGAAAAATGAAATGCATATTTATGTGTATACCAATATCAGGATGACCGCCTCCTTTCATCCTCCATACAAATTCTTTGACTACATCTTTATGATCTTCAAAAACATGAACAGGTTCATTTGGTTTACATTGATTCCATAAATATAATTTATTCTCAGAACGTTGAGGCATTGTCAAAATGCCATGACCAACTGGCTGATTTTACAAAAATAATTATATATATAAATCAATTAATTAATCATTTAATTAACTAACCAACTTAACAATTAATTAAATGCTAAATCATATAAACATACTGTGTGTCTTGCTCGCCAAACTGGTGAATTTGTATGAATTGAACCTTGGCAAACTTCAGGTTCATCAATATTCCAAAACTAATGTTTTAAAATTAAACATCAAGTTAATGAAAAGAATCATTGTATTAAATTGACAATATTTATTTTGATATATATATATATATATATCTGAATTTAATTTATTGAATAACACTTGCTTTCACCAATTTATCCAAACTGCAAGTTATTATATCTTTATAATTTTTCCTGCTCCAGTCTATTCCATATATTTTAGTAGTGTGCGCTCGAATTTTTGTTAAACAAAGAGACCCTTTCTTTTTTTTTTTTATTGTAATAATTATGATAATAAATAATCTTTGCTTCGCCAAAATAAAATGATGATAAAAAAATGATTAAAAATTACTCTTGTGTCCCATATCATAACATCTCTATCATGTGATGATGCTAGAATATATTCATTTTTTCCATTGAACTTTACTTGAGTTGCACCGGCTATAAAAAGAATTATATATGAGTAATTAAATATATATATTATTATATTAAGATTTTTTTAATATTTCAAAATATATAACTAACCGGTCCAAGCACAAAATGATCTTACAGGCTTTTTTGGTCTTCTTAAATCCCATAAATGAATGAAAGTGTCAACAGAACAAGTTGCTAATCCATCTGGGTTAAATGGATTCCAGTTAATATCACTGATTGCACGGTTATGGCCATGTAAAATATATTCAACTGCACTTGAAGAGGGACGCGCAAGGTTCCATATAAGTCCTTTTTGATTTGACTATAAATAAATAATAAATAAATAAATAAATATGAATAAATCGAATAAAAATGAAATATTTTTTAAAAAAATCATACCGTAGATGCAACCCAAGTATCACGTGCCAAATGTGGGTTCCATTGTACATCAGCTACCTCCCATCTTGTTAGATGGTGAAGTTCACGAGGAGGTTCATATGGATTTTCCAGATCTATAATAAAAAGACCTTTTCGTCTATATACGTATATGGATTAAGAGAAACATCTTTTAAATAAATAATTATATCTATTTAATTCTTAATATATAAACATGACAATAATGACAATAACATTGACCTCTAATTTTTAAAAGAATACATACGCTGCTAACACAATATCACGATTTGATGGTGAAATAGACATGCTACCAACAGGTTGTTCAACATGAATAGATAATTCTTGATAAAATGAAGAATCTGTTTTTTTTGTGTCATTTAAAGAGAAATTTTCTTCAGGGCTAATTAAATCAGTGTTGGAATCGATTGATGTTGGATTAATGATATGTGTATTTGATGAATAACGATGTGGTGAGGATGATCTTGACGATGGGATTGTGATTGGTCTTGATTTTAATGGAAAAGAAGATTTTGGCGAATCAAGTGAAGTTAAGTTAGCATCACAATCAACTGAATTTTTATCGTGATCATCATGATTATCCATTGCTTTGACATAGAATTTGTAAATTTTGAAATTATATTACGTCGTTAAAAAATTAAAATAATAAAAAAAGCAATTTTTATTTACAAAATCTACATGATCATCAAAATAAATTATTTTGTGCACGGACAAATTTTAAAATCGAATTTCATCATTATTATTATTATGAATTCTTATATTTCAATAGAAGACAAATCCAACAATGAAATTGTTTCAAATGTTTTAACAGAATATGTTTCAAATTCTTCTGGTAAATTAATTGATAAATTGATAGGTTAATTTTTTCAATATTTACCAGAAACTAAAAATGTTTTTTCATTCAAGTAGTATTACCATCACTCAAGATAAATGAAAAATCCGAATTGATAAAATCATTATTAAATGACATTAATGAAAATAAATATAATTGGAATGAAAATGGTAATCATTTGATTAATCATTTATTTAATCTGAATTTTTCAAAATTCTAATTACTCTGATGACTATCAATTAATATAGTTAAAGCATTAGCATTACAAACTATTAAGGTATTAGGAAGAGATACTAAAGGTTGTGACTATTTATTTTCTGAAGAGGTAAAACAAATAATAAATTATCACGAAAAGTATTGCAGACCAATTTCTTTAAAACTAATGATTCTTTTATATTATTAATTACTTAGGGTTTTAAGATTTTATTAAATCACGCAGGTTTACTACAAAATCAAGAAGAAGAAGAGGAAGAAGAAAGCGTAGGGAATCAAGAGCAAGAAAAAAAAGATAAATTAATAGATAATATTATATCACAAGAATCGTTGACATGCATTGCGAATTCACTTTTATTAAAGGATAGCACAAGAAATTTATTTGAAAAATATAATTGTATTTTTACAAGTTTTGTGGTTTTCAAGGTAAAACTATATAAATTATAAAGTTATAATAATAATTTATTGTTAATAATTCCAATTATTATTCTAATTATTGTAGAATGAAAATTTATCAACAAGAGCACAATTTTTATTATCTAGAATATTATTTATCATTACTGTTAGTTCTTTAAGTGCGACTAAACAGCTTGTTGATGATCTTGGAATAATTGATGTACTTTATAAGGTTGAAGAATTTCTAATGCTTTTAATGTTTTTTTTTTTAATAAACAATTTTTTTTCAAGAAAAATAAAATATTAATTATTACTATCATTTAGAACATTTCAAACATTGTGAAAGAATTATCATCTTTAGACTACGATTCAAAAAAAGAATCTTCTTCACCATATACTAATGAAATGATTTTAAATGAACAATTAAAATTACTTTTTAATTTAATGATGAATTATCCTAAACTTGCTTCACTGTATCATTGTAATAATGATGATAAAGAGAACAACAATGACAAGGGAAAAGTCAAAGAAAATAATACAAAATTTGATATGTAAGATTATTTTTAATTGTTTATATAACTTTAAGTTTCTTGGCATTTCTTCTTTTAAGTCATTTTTTCTTCAATTTTTTCAATTTATTATTATTAGACTTCTTCCACCAATTCTTGAAATAATTTTAGAACTTAAACCTCCTTCACCTTTACCATTATCACCACCACATTCACATGCAATCCATGCATTATTAAATTTTCCTGTTGAATTAATTTTGTTTCCAACCTCAACCTCCTCCCAATCAACTAATCAGCAACAGCAGCAACAACAAAATTTGCCAAAATCATCAAAAAAAAAATCAAATAATAATGATCAAAATAATCAATACTTAATTTTATACAAATTAATTGATATATTAAAAACAATGATTTTCATAACAATTAAAGGTGATCCTGATTCTGTTATTAATGAATATGACAAATATGATGTTGATTTTGATGAGACTATCACTCCACTAATTGTATTATTGAAGAGACTTGCTGAAGGAAATCAAACTGCTAAACTCATTTTAAGAAATAATTTATTACCTGATGATGTGTAGGTTTTATTTATTTTTAATTTAATTAGGTTAATCTTAATTTATTTTTTAACCTATTTTTCTTGATTTTAATTAGTGATAGGACTAAACCATTAGAAAAGGGTGATAGTTTATCTGCAAGATTGATTAGAGTGATGACATCTGTTTTGTTACCAAATTTAAAAGAAAGTATAAGTAATTTATTATTTACTTTATGTGATGAAGATGGTAAATAATTATATATTATTGTTATTGTTATTGTTATTGTTATTATTGTAATAAAACATGCAATTATTTACCGATTTATTTTTTTATTTTTAGCACATTTATTTGTACATCATGTAGGCTATGGAAATGCTGCTGGATTTTTAATGACTAAAAATATATTAATTCCACCTCCGCCATCCACCACATCATCATCATCGCCATCTTCATCCATAACGAACTCTTCTTCAAAATCCAACATTTCTAATTCTTCATCATCAAAACCAATTAATCCCATAACTGGACAATATTATGAAAATGAAAAACCTTCTTTATCATTATCCAATATGACAGATGAAGAGAAAGAACGCGAAGCTGAAAAATTATTTGTATTGTTCGACAGATTAAAGAAAACTGGCGTGATGAATGTTGTCGATCCTATTGAAGCAGCTATCAAATCCGGTAAAATGGATGAAATAGAAGAAAGGTTAAGAAAAAAAGAAGAACAAGAAGAAGATTAATTTTGTTAAATAATTATATCTTGATTTTCTTTTAAAGAGGTGAAAATAAAACAATACATTAGCCATTCAACAAACAATTTTTTTATTGATCCGTATTCTCTTTTTATTGGAAAGGAAAAAAAATTTATTTATTCATCTATCGAATATAATTCTTGCGTTCTTTTTACCGTATATGTGAACTTAATTAGAACTCTTGATGTATAACTTATCACTAAAATTTAGATTACTATCATTTTGTCGGTTTTGGATTTTTAATAAAACATGTGATTTTAGAAACATAGATGTGAAAATGTTTCTACTTTTAATACGAAAATTTTAAATACGTTCAAGATTATGAAACTACATTCCTGAATTCTGGATCGTTTCATCAATGATGTTATATCAGCGTTAACAACTGGAAAAATATCTTATTAAACTGCATCGTATTATCATTGTATAAAGCCTGATAAAAAAGAAATGAATTGTCACAGAAAATGATTGAATCTGGAAAGCTTGTGAAAATACTTGATTAATTCATATCAGGGAATATCACACATTTCTTGTAATCATTTCATCATCAACGAAAAAAATTTTCTTTTTTTTCTTTCAAGATGAAAGAACTTTTTTAAAAATATGATGAAGGTGCGTATCAAATCATGACTGATATTTTCATATGAGCGTATAAACGTTCGAAGGTTAATCACCACCAATGTGTTTAGTTCGATTTCCAATAATTTTGCAAAATGAAGACATTGCTGGTTTGGTTCTCGAGGCTCTTAAAATGATGAGGGTTGACGATTCCGCCCTGTTCGTACAATGGAACGATCCGGTTTTCAGCACCGCAAATGGAAGACGAAACAATATCGCAGGCCAGATCAAGGCAGTGTCATAAACCGCATAACTAGTAATGGCGGAAGAGATATCGATAATAAAAGCATGGTCTTCATATTCCAAAAGGTTGAACATTTGGCCGATTGCGCACACGGATTTCCTGTCTGGTGAGAAAATTTTTAATCTCACGTGCTTTGATCTTTTAATATCGGGTATTCTTTATTCTTTTTGATAAAGGACACGCCGACAAATAGAGTTTCCAGATATTGCTCACGCTGTAATTAGAATAAATAAACTTTTAGCGTCGGGAAGTTTCGAAGTGGAAAAATGTGATTAACCTTTCAATTGGCCATAATGTTGACGATACATTCTTTTTTTACTTGAGCAAAAATATAGTTATAATTTTTTTTTAGTAGCAAATTGTCATCACAATCGATTTTTTTAAAAAAAATGTTTTTTTAACTTATCCAAACTCGAAAATATTATATTCGTTTGCTAAAAATATTAAAAATCTTAAATTATTATTATTGCCGTAAGAAAGAAATTATTCAATATTGGTTAATAGTGTGATTGGGATAATTCACACATTTGTTTATTAACAACAGTTTACTTTCCATAATGAATATTATAGTAATTATTTGGACATCTAATTCATCTTTTGTTTGCAATTGATCGATTCAATCAACATTTTTTATCATTACAAAAAAAAAGTGTGGCACGCGTTCAAAAAAAAGAATGACCTGTTTATTATTATCATTAAAAGCTTCATAAGCTTGTTTGGACATTTTAAACATTTCGTCTAAATACTATTTTGACTTTAGTCATCATATCCTAGAACAATTTAGACTCCCATCTATAGTCGTGATAATAAATCAGCCAAATCTGAACAATAAACAAAAAAATTAATATCACAAATTGCAAAAATGTGTGGAGGATAAGACTTTTTTTTAAAGAACCAAGATCGCTTTTAATCATAACAAAATCGTCAAGGCTTGAATATAAGTGACTGTACAGAATATTGTTATTATGGTAATAAAGAAATAATTAGAAGTCGTAGTCAGTTTAACATTTAGAACAATACGTTCATTTAATCAACGAGAAGAACAATTAGCATTTGTATAATATAATATAACAATATTAATATTTAATTATTATTCATTCTGCAAAACACTCCATATTAAATAAATATACAGCTAAAACAATATGAAATACTAGTCACGCGATATTGTTAAAAAGAAGTATACACGCTAAAAAAAAAATCAAAACAAACAAAAGATACTATATAACTAAATCAATGAATAAAATATCAAAATAAAATTTTTTTAATTTGAAATTTTAAATAAATAAATATTCAATATGTTAATCTCTTTACTTTTTCATGAACCATACAGTTTCTAGTTTCCACTTAGATTCACGAACATCAATTCTCTATTTTCAGTAAATCTAACTATTGGCAATATTACATATTGCTGGTCAAACACCATGATTTCATCTTCGCTGCCATAATATTTTTTCTAGTAGCTTTTGAATAAAATTCAACAATGATGCTAAATCCTCATTAATGTTTTAACATTATTCGCGCATCACGTTTTAATTCCAACTTATCTAGTACTAAACAACCTTGATAAGTATCTTTAATTGACCAATTTTGATTAGTTCATAGTCTTTTGGCTTGATATATATGAATTTTACTTAAAAACACAAGATTTGCACTAGTAACTATCTTGTAATTTAATAAATGAATATTATCCAAGTATATTATATATATCGTAGCTTGAATTCCATCATTCGGATATTGTGGCGAAAGTTTCAACCCACTCATGATTTTCAATGTTTTTTCAGACACAAATCTAATATCATTTAACATGCCAATAAGATCTATAGAATTAGAATTAGAATTAGATCAATATATCAAATAGACAAATTAATAATAATAATAGTTATTTTTTACCTGTCTAAAAACTGTCGATTATTGTATTATATGTTTTATACGTTGAATCCATGAGTTCGATTCATAACAAAACTTGTCATTGCGATCTTTAGAAACTGGTGATAGTTGAATCACCCATGACTACTGATTAATAATAAAATACACAAATATAAATATTACTAATATTCCACCAAACGGTCTATGATTATTGCGAATAGCTTGTGCGATTTGCTTCCAGTTTATTAAATAATTTACCATCGATATTGTGAACATATAAGATAATTAAATAATTAATAAATAATCAAATGATGATGACTATTATTATTATTTCCCGTCAATCAGATGAAAAAAATTCAATAATATGAATTTTTGATCTTGAACTTTTTTAATAAGCTCTTTTGTTTGCTCGGTGCCTAGTCCTATTCCCGCGAAAGAGTGTAGAGTTGATGTGAACTGCTGCTATGCCAGTCGTAGTAGTTACAACAATATCTTCAACTCCATAAATATTTTTAAGAGCCAAGATGATTATTAATAATAGAAGGCTTTTTCCGGTTCCTGCAGAGCCTGTAAAAAATACATTCTCGCGTTTATATTAACCACCAGGTCATAAACTAGTTGTTGTTTTTCTGATGGTTTCACGTCTATTGATTGGGTATCGTATTTGAAATAAATAGAGAGAGAGGATCTTTGTTGTTGATTAGATGATATTTTATTCAAATATTTTTTATTGATATTGGTTGCCAATCGTCTTCATCTGACCAATCAACAATCTTTTCCTTTTCCTTTAACTTCTTCATGCCTTATTATTATTATTATTATTATTATTATTCTTCTTCTTCTTCTTCTTCTTCTTCTTCTTCTTCTTCTTCTTCTTTAAGAGAATTACAATCACTATGATCACAATTACTATTATGAGAAGAAGGAAAAGGAAAAAGATAATCTATTTTTCAAAAAAAAAAAGATCGCCGTGTCACATCATATTATTGATTTTAATTTGATCACGTTATTCACTTCTAAACTTTTTTTTTCTCATTCCAGCATTCTATTAAATATATTGAGACAAAGATTTGATTATAAAAGGTTCAACTAATTTACAACTATGATAATATTTAAAAAGTATGCTCCCTGGACAAAGTTTCTGTCACCATAAAACGATTGAAAAAATACAGCCTGCCAAAAAAAATAAATTGCTCGAAACTTACATAATAACCACACCCGAAATTTTGGCATATGATAATAATAAGTTGGAATTTGACAAAACGCGCTTGTATAATCGTATATGTTTTTGTTATTTAAAGCTTTATAAATTTTTTTAATGTTCACAAAATTAAAAATTTAAATAAAAAAAATGTCAAAATTAAAAGAGCCTGAACGTGGTCAAGTTATCAGACTTATAAAGACGGATGCACAATCCCATGTATTTCTAAGGTACTTGGCCTTGCTAGAACTAGTGTAATTAGAATGATAAAAAGCTTTCAGAAAGAGATCGGGTTGAAGAGTTACTAAGAATGTATGTCCTCACTTTTGATTATTGATCAAATAGAAAACTGTTATTACAAATAATGGGCAGCCAACAAAACATTGTCCATCCTTTATTATTGTTGTTTGCAATTAAAAAACTTGGAATTCTACGTGCATATTTTGAGACAGAATGTTATAAATTATTTATCTTTTTATCGTGTATATTTTTGCGGAATTATTTGATTTGTAGCGGCCGGAACTTTGGAAGTCATTGAATAATAATTATTGAACCAATTACTATCATCATTGATAAATTTACATTATTTTTATTTTCACCCATTGCTCTACTACCCATTAAGATTAAGATTATAAATAAATATACTAAAAATTTCGTATTGTAATTAATTATTATTATTATTATTATTACTATTATTATTATTATTACTATTATTATTATGTCAATTTTTAATTCTGATTTCTTTTATTTCATCCTTCTCTGGTATCTTGTTGCAAAAGGTCCAAAATTACTACAGTAGTTTCTAAAGCTATTGCATTCCACAACAATTTATTTAAATAACTATTCAAATCAAACCAGAAGGCGATTTCTAAATAAAGTAAAATATGTGAGAAAATCATTATAGCAGTAAAAATACCGATCGGAATCCAAACGTAATCGTTCCATCTGTTCCGTCCATTTTGATCATCCTTACGTTTAAATTTTTGCAAAAATCCTTTCAAATTGTTTTTTCCTTTCATTTCAAGGCCATACTTAACAAAACCTAATGAACCGATCAACGATACTATTGAAATAATAATGATCCATAATAACATCTCAGTTGTGATATTGTCATAATTTGTGCACAGAAAAGCTAAAACCATGCATGTGGAGAAGAGTGTATACACGGGAGCTAATATGTCCTCTGCAAAATTTATCCGTTTATTTTTACTATATAAAATAAAAAAAATTTGCATTTAATTTGAATTACTTGCTAATTTCATTTATAATAAAATTTTGTAAAATTTCTACCTATCACCACCATCATCTTCCTTTAACTTTCTTTCAAAGCCAATAGCTTCAATTTCTTTATTTTCTTTTAAATATTTTTCACGATTAATTCCAATTTCCTCCTCGTATTCTCTAATTTCCTTCAAAGCCCGTATTTCTGCACTGTCTGCTTCTGTTTCAAGTTTAACATCAATGTTTTTATTAATTTCATGAATTAAAAAAATTATCGTGGTTATCAAATTCATTACACCATAACATACAAACATTATCGTCCAACTCTTACTAGGATTAATACTATTTTCAAGAGCCAAAAAAGAATAAATTACTATAAACGTTGTGAATACATTTATGAAAAATCTTACAATATACTTTGCAACTAATGTGAAGTGTGCGGCTTTTAAATCTTTGGAGAAAGAAATGTAAACAAACAATGGTAAAAATAATGATAACAAGGTATCAAGTAAGCTATCTCCCCGAAAATCATCATTGCTTAAAGGTGCTGCTTTAGTGACGACAATAAACAGATTGATAATGAAAAGTATCAATATTTTTTTCATGGTTCAAATGATTTTAAGATCTTTGATTCATTAAAGTCGGACATTCAATTCTTTTTATATTTTTTTTTTTTATCATTATGATAATCATTGTCATTGTCTTTACTCTTTTGGAAAACATACAACCATACCACATTTCCTCAAATGGCAAATAAAATAAACAAGAATAACGCTTTTGTAAAGAATGTTACATGAATATTATTAAATTCTTAGCCAAGTATGATGCACACTTGACTCTATAATAAAGGCAAATGTTATTATTAATATCGATATTTAAAAGAAAGTTGTGAAGCAAAATAATTTTTAAATGGCGACGAAGAATAAAGCAATTTCTGAAATACACAAAGAAATGGGGTTTCTAAATTGTGAATATAGCTTTCATAGATGGCCACCACCATATTACATTCGTAGAGAAATATAAGCATGAATCTGTTTTATTTGACAAGAACTGGGAAAAGCCAGAATTATGATGTAAATGAATTGTGGAAATCAATTGGATTGTTCAGTATGTTTGCTGGTAGTCAACTATTTCTATTAGGAAATGTAGAATTAAAACAGAAATTTACAATTTAAACCAATGAATCCAACTATTTTTGAGAAGCTTCATCAAACATATACGAAGCATTTCAACAGTAAAAGATCTTACATTCTCAGTTTTAAACTATTAGGGTAATTTATTACATTAATGATGCGAATTTAGAAGGAGACATTTTAAGGAAAATAAAGAGCCTGGAGGCAATATGGGTGCAAAAAAATAAAATAACGAGTATTTGATGATACTGTGGCCGATTTGGAAACATTACGGCCAATTTATTTTAATATCCAGAACCAGAATAGCCCAGTGTTATATAAAGATTTGGTTGTGCCTAGATTTACAAGCAAAAACTTTTTGGTCACGTAACAAATTTTATTTAACATTAAGGGAACAAACTTACGCCTATATATTTTAAGTGATAGAAATAATGTTATTATGAGCTCTCATACAAAACTGATTCCGAGAAAGAGCATACTTATGGACTAAAACGGTCAAGTTTTATGTATAGATTAGATGGTTGTTTGACGAAACGTTATCAAAATTGTAGAACCATTACGTCAAATTCGCTGCCATTAAGTCAAAATGACGTAAAAATAAAATTGCTTTAAAGGCTAATAAAATATAAAAGCTCACAAAAAATTTTATAAATATGCATTCCAAGAGTTTTTTTTTATATTTTTCTTGTGCATTCCAATCTCTCCTTTGTTTCTGATACATGATAAAATCATCGATTAGGGATTTGGTACTTTATATATATTCCGGGTCAGTGTATAATTATTATCAAATGAATATTTTACGCAAGAGAATATTGATTAAGTTACTTTGCAATAATAAACCTTCAATTTTCCATTGCAGTGATCAACAAAGAATAGATTCTGGTCCTCGTAAGAGGAAAATAATAGATAATTAACATTCCGATAAAATAAACCTCTGTGATAGAATCATTATTTTTATTAAACGTTAACAAGCTTTTAAAAATAAAATAAAAAATAAAAAACGTTGTTTTTATTTTCCTTGTTAAAGCGCATTGATAAAAGCAACAAAATGTAGTAGTTCCTTGGTAAAAGGTAACAATTATGAAGCTTTGGTAAAAAGCCACATTTTATCTGCTTTGGTGAGTAAGCAAGGTTAGGATTAACGTTGAATTAGTGAGCGTTAGCAACGATTAGCAACGTGATTTGCTTTAGTGAGCAAGCAAAGGTTAGGACTAACATTGGTCAACTCATAGGTGTTAATAAAGTATCGTCCAAAGGTTAATCTGAAATACTGTTGGCATTATTATAATTGTAGGCATAAGGCTGTTAAACAAGCTACTTGAGTTGTTTTGCAATAAACCAAAGCAAGTTTGCAATCGGCCAATGAATGTAAACAAGGATGAACGACTGAAATAAATCGAAACCCACGAGCTTTGTAAAAAGCCTTCTTTATTTATTTACAGTAGGTGCAGTAATCGAGAACCAAAGTAAATTTGTAAACTAGTTAATTGACAAACACTGAATTATTGTGAGTTGCTTGCAATTAACTGACAAGAGTAGCCCAAAAGTTAGGTCGTAATTGGCATTAACCAAAAGGACCACCTTACAATATGAAATATATCACCACCATTTAACAAGAATCAAAAATTGTAAAAGTTTATTATAAGAAATATTATAATTTAGAAATAAAAATAAAATAAAAAGATAAATAATTATAACAAATAAATTTACAATGGTGATTAAATTAGTCACCCATCAATTATTTCTTTTAATTATATACTAGAATCTAATGTTTATTAATCAATCAAATTGCTAGTAATAATTAATGGATAGTGATTTCCAATTAATTGATAATGAAATTTTTTATTCAAGAAAGCTAAAATCAAGATTATTTAATGAACCGTCATTAATTGTATAACTTTTAAAGCTTTTTGATCTAGCAATCTCTTCATCTAATATTCTACTTGTATGGTATGCACTTGGATGTGATTTGTGTACTTGTTGCAAATCACTGATACCACCAACATCACCACTGCTGCTGCTACAATCATTATCACGAATTTCCTTATGTTTATTTTCAGCAAATATTAAAAGCTCTCTACTAGTTGGTCTTTTTGATGGATCCACATCCCAACATCTCTGCATCATTTGTACATAATCATCAGGCATTCCTGGTAATGTTGGTGGTCGTAAACCTTCTTCACATATATCAAAAATTAAACAATGATCATGAGCTCTATCATCAAATGGTGGATAACCTGCAAATATTTCCCACATTAAAATCCCAATGCTATAGATATCAGTTTCTTTTGTGTACTTTTTACCTCTAAGTAGCTCAGGTGCAACATATGATACAATTCCATAGACTTTATCTGATGATTTTTCATCAACTGGTCCACATAATCCTAAATCTGTAACATAACAATTACCTCCTTCCACAAGTATATTACCACTATGTAAATCACAATGGATCAAATCTTTTTCATGCATATCATCTAATGCACTACATAAATAATCAAAGATTGTAATTCTGTCTTTTAATGTTAAATTTAAATAATTTTTTTTCAAATAACTCCTTAAATTTCCCTCTGGAGCATAATCTAAAACTATTGCATAATTTCCATTATCTGGGAATTTAGTTATACCATAACAAGGATTGATTGTTGGTGATTTAATTTTATAATGATTCATTGCCTGAAATTGAATATATAAAATCAATTAATATTATATAATACAGTATTGTTATTTTAAATGACAATTACCAACCTCATCAAAAAATGCTTTTCCTGGATTACTTGAATTATTTAAACTTTTTAATACTATGTCTCTCCTTCCATAATAACTAAATTCCTTTTTATTTTCATTGTAATCAAATATTCTTCCCCTTGTCCATTCAGCAGTATAAATTGAACTAAATCCACCCTCTGTTAACTTTGTTACTTTTTCAAATTGCTCAAAAGGTATCCATTCTAAAATATATTTTGGTAGTGATGATTGCATTTGACATTGCTGAATAAAATTATCAATTATGTTATTTCCAGATGTCCATGTAGTGAAAAGATCCAGTAGTTGTAAATTAATACAACCTTCGCAGAATCTATCAGAGTATCTTGTTAATTTACACTCATTACATCCTTTTGGTTTGCCAAGTTTATATATTGCATTATTTAGTTCAAAATCATAAATAAATCTTTCTTTAGAATATTCTTTTTCATTCTCTGAAAACTCCTTGTTTCTTTTGACTAATGAAAAAAAATAATCTTTTCTACTTTCACTATCAGAATTAACCATTGCATCATTATACATCTCATTATCAATTTTAAGTACAAATCCCCTTCTTTCTGGTGGTATTAATGATAATAATTTACTATAAGACATCATATAAAAATAAATGTATTTATAAAATTTAAAATTTGACTTTGCTCAATCTATCGTGTTTTATTGAATGGAGTGGAGAAAACAATTTTTTTTTGTACTGAGAACAACACCGCCAGTTTATTTATAATTATTCATTTACACAATTCTTTATATTATTTCCTTTTGCAGAGAATTAATTAAATGGCATGTGACAAACAACTTTCACGTGAGGACTCATAAACTTCATTAAATTCATTTAATTCACGTGACAAAAGAGCACCGTTAACTGTTTAACCAGTTAATTTTTGTAAAAAATTAAAAATTTTAAAATAAATAATAATAATCGTAACATTATAATTATCTTTATAATTAACAAATAAATAATAAATAACCACAATATACATATAATTTATTCATTCATTCAACATTAAAACAATTGAATAATTATAATTAATATGAATTTTGTTGGGATAACGTGTTACCATAGGCGCAGCACTTCTTTGCCATAACAATGTTTGTTGTCATATCCAAAAGAATCTAATAAAGGGAAATACATTTGGATGATATTTAATTTAGGAGGTGTAGTAGGCCCTATAATTCTATTGGTATTAAATCGGTCAGCCGAATCAAAATCTGTTAATGATGAAGCTATTTTGGCATTATGTTTATTATCTCCGCTTTGAAGAAAAAGCAAACAATATTTATTGCAAACTTATTATCAATCCTCGAACAGAAATTAAATGTGGTGCAAAATATGCTAATTCTGACATCACAACAACTTCAACATTAAATTATCATTTAAAGCATTGTCATCAAGATTTAGTTAATCCTAAATTTTACATTATTTGTTTAATAAATGTATTTATTTATCATAATTCAAATTTTTTTTTTAGAAAATCGATTTAAAACAACCAGAATTAGCACATGTGTTTAAAAAAACTAAAGAACATCCACAACACAAGATGAATGAATTACATCTTGCTGTGGCTGAATGTGTTGTATTAGACTCTTTACCTTTTAATATGTTACACGGGAAGGTTTTAAAAGATTTATCAAGAAAATAGATCCTAAATTTCGTGTACCAAATATATAAAACAAAAATATTATCGCAGACAAATATTTATAACGACTTTTTAGTAATGCTGATAATCAAATAGCTGCCAAAAGGACTAGATTAACTTCTGAAATTGTTGACAAAATTTTATTTTAAAAAGAAATTTATAATAGTTATTTTATTTTAACTAAATAGTTTGAAATCGTCCAAAAAATCCTTAGTCGATTACTAGTTGGTCAAAAATTTCTTTAGTCGACTAATTAGTTGTTGACTATTTTAGTTGACTTTTTTTGTAATAATAATATTTCGTTTTTTTTTAATTTGCAAATTACGAATTTGTTTCCATTTGAATCTTTCACTTTTTCAAAATACTTCCACACAAAACCATGTGTTACGATTCGTTTTTTAAAAGGTCTTCTGGAACCACCACCTAAATCATTGGAAGTGTTTATTCATTCACATGTAAAATTATCATCAACAACACACTACTATTGTCATCATCATCATATTGATGGTCTTGATACTCTTCCACATAGAAACTTTCATTTTGAATGATAAAACACATAAATCGTAATTGGTCAGACAATAATATTAGCATAGTATTAGTATCAGTATCAGTATTAATGTATTAGTAGTCGACTAAAATAGTCGATTAAAATAGTTGTTCAAAAAAAAGTTTAATCGACTAAAATTGTTGACTAATTAGTCGATTCCATCCTCTAAATATGGCAATGGTAATTTGTTCGTAACCGGTTAACTGGTTAAAAAATTAACAGTTTAACGGTTAATTTAACCAGTTAAAATTAATGGTTAACCAGTTAAAGAATTTTAAATGGTGCCAATTTCTAGTTGATGATCATGTCATGATCATCAACTTGGCTATGTGATCAAAATAGTCACGTAATATTACTTTAGTGAGTGATAGATAATTACAAATACTTACGGGTCTAAAAAAATGTTATACCTTGTGGACAAATTGGTTCATAGCTTCACCTCTTTTTGTCTTTTTCATAATTTCTTTCAATGATACATCTATACTGCAAATTTGTCCTGAAGCACTTTTATTGATATAAGTAATATCAGAAAATGAATTGTAATTATTTTTGCCATCTTTTGAAGATCCCTTAATTATTTCAGAATAATTATTATTATTGTCATCGTTATCGTTTCTGACATTGTTGCTGTCATTAGTTATATGGGGTGTTGGATTATTGTTATTGTTGTTGTTGTTATTAAAATTATTGGTTTTGTTTTAGAAAATCTCTTTTCGACATTAAAAAAATCCATAATGCTTTTGTTTTTGTCTTCATTTCTTGTTTCAATGCAATTTACACGAAAAGAAAGAAAGAAGAAAAGAATTTTTGGAATTTTTTAACTTTGAGTAAAGTCTTATGTCACCGATTAAATTTGGGAGAGCGTGTTTTAATGGGTGATAACAATTATTTTTGTTTATGTGTGGATCAGAATGAATAGAGGCTATCAACGAATTGATTTTGGATTAGCGAATAATTTTGTTTAAAGAAGATAAAAGTTTTAAATAAAATATTTCTATTTTATTCATTTAGTTTTAGTTTTATTTAGTCGAAACTAATTAACTTGTAACAAAGTTGCTTTTATATTAGGTCGAAATCAAATTCTTTATACGGTGCAGATCATCTATAATCATTAGTTGCTTATAGTAACAATTGGTAAACTTCAAAATT